CAGCTACAGCTACAGCTACAGCTACAGCTACGGCTACGGCTACGGCTACGGCTACAGCTACATCTGCGGCTGTGACTACGGCAGAAGCTGCGGCTAACGAAAATTCTTACCTATTTTACACATTATTCAGCCTGCCATTTAAACAAAAAGACTTAAAAATTACAATTATAATTTTAAGCATAAATGTGCAAACAATGCATTCAAACAGATGTACTCACCCACGGTACACACATTGGTTGAAACCACATACGTGTGACACGAGCACAGTTTTGAGTGCTCCATACACCTCACACTACACGCCAGGTTAGAACTACCGGTATACCTGGTCACATTCAAGGTCTGATGGTACACAGCGTGTTGTTCGGTCTTTTGAACGACACAGATCTTTCAGCGCAGTTGATACATCTCACTGATGTGGTAAGGAGAGGAAAACAAATCGATATTGTAGATCTTGATACAGTTATACGAATCGTCATAAATTATCCCTATATACAGCGAAACAAATGCTAATAAATTATACCTAGATACATTGACACAAATCTTCATAAATTATTCCTAAATACAGCAACACAAATGCTCATACATTATCCCTAGATACAGTGACAAATCAAGTTTAAAATATTTTCGACTAAAATGATGTTAAAACATATTCCTTGCTACAACGACAATTTTTTTAAAACCTATTCACAAATACAGTGACACACATGCCGTTAAAAGCTCATTCATAAATACAGCGAATCAAATTATGTTAAAACATTATTCCTTGATACAACGATACAAAATATGTCAAAAAATATTCTTATATATAGCGAGTTAAATGTTGTTTAAAAATATCCCTAAATTTGGCGTGTTAAGTGCTGTACAAAAAGACTCCTTATTGGCCGCCAACACGAATTTTCAAAATGCATTTCAGTTTTGCTTCCTTGCGAGTTATTCCTTTAAGTATGCAAAAGAACCTCGATCTTCTTTCTTGATAGAAAATTAAGTCAAAGCTCACCGCTAGTTTAATTGCATTTATTTCCCAAAACGCTATTAAAATGCACAATTTTATTTGTTTTTTTAAGAGTAGGTGCTGTAATTTTGGTGAAATAAAATTAATAGAAATGCGTGTAATAACTGCAAGATTTAGACTAAACATTACTTGTTAAGTTGCAAAAATGGGCAGTCATGATTTCTTCGCACCCTCTCTTCATTGTCATCAAAGAACGTCACTAAATGCCACTACAGACGAATAGTATTTACTATGTTCGGACTGCAATAGTGCTCTTGCTATACATTACTGGTTTATATATATATATATATATATATATATATATATATATATATATATATATATATATATATATATATATATATATATATATATATATATATATATATATCTCACTGGTTTTGATTTATGGATGAGTGATTTTTTTAAAAAGTTAAATGTTTACCTGCAAAAAATATGACGAGTTAAAACAATAAACAGGAAAATATTTGAAAAACGTTTGTTGAGATCACGCAGCAACCTAGAAGAGAAAACATTTTAAATGACTGAGATTCATCAAAAGTAAATTTAGGCATAGTATGCAGATTTCACCTGTTTTTCTTTTGGTCGTTCCCTAATTGAACTACTTAATATAAGAACGCAAGCTTGTTTTACAAAAAATCTATTTACATTTAAAATATGCTACTAAATCTAAAAAAAAAACGTGCGATTTTACTAGCTTTATAAAGTTCACACATCAATGTGATTTTCGAAAATGCAATTTAGCCTTTACAACTTAACATCTTTACATTTTGTTACATTTTGCAATGAAATTTCAACACAAAAAGGGAAATTTCAGTTTAACTTATAACACATAGAAACAGTACAGCAGATTAAGCTTCAAGTTTCAACTGTCTCTACAGTTAAATTCCTACCAACGTCCAAATTACGCCAAGTCCACCATGAAGCTTCACTTAAATATGCAACAGGCACATTTCTTTATTTTCTCAACAAAGCACTTTAACATACCATAATAAGAAAAGATGCATTTCAATCCAAAAGATTCTAATTAATATTGCATGTTGATAAGGAGTCTCCTTGTTTTCTAATGGTTTTAGATATTTATTATTTGTATTAAAGATTCCACTTTATACCGTTTACATTGTGTTTTATACATAAGCGGAATCAATTTGAATATACTAAGGTACTTTGGGGTTCAACACAATTTATATTAGCACTATCTTCTATTTTTGGTCAACATATTTTCCACGGTGTCTAATTGATTTATTTCAATAGAAATAGTTGTTTGTTGCTATTCCAAATGGTTGTTTACTTAAAGCCTATGCTATTCTACAATTCAACTCTCCCTGATCTACACCTAGTGTTGCATAAACTTGCGTCCTCCAAGATAGTTGTATTTTTTTAAAAATGTATCTACATTACGAACTGATTTTATAGGTCGTAAATGCTTCCAGTGTGTCTTTGTTTTAATTTTATTCTGGAAGGGAGGAAACGCACTTTAAGCTTTCGGGTAGACGGGTGTAATTATGCATGGGGGGGGGGGGGAGGAGAGTGAATACTGGGTAAAGTATATATTTTTGATATACATTATATTTCGATTTGGCGAGGAAACGGCAGATGGGAATAAGTGGAGACGACCCCAAGACCATCCTCAGCAGAAGAGATGCATGCAATCAACTATTATTTAGTATGTCAAAGTCACAGAAGCAACACTTTTGACGGCGTACTATGTGCGAGAAAATTCAACTCAGCGTGTAAAGCTTTACTAAATTCGTCAACACGCCGTTGTATGCAAATATCCACTCACTCACAAAACCCCATGTTTCAATCATAAATAGAGAGAAAGTTAATTTTGTGATATCTTCTATACAGTCTGGTATTCTTTACAGTCCTGGTCTGGTAACTTTGATACTACCTACATGCATTCATGTGTTAAATAATGCTTTGTTAAAATTATTTGGTTATTTGTATTTGATAATCTCTAGGTCACGGCAACATTCTTTGACAAAAAGACATTGTCTGGTTGCCTTATTAATTGGTTATGTGGCTCTGAGTTTGTTAGTAAAATTTACATATATTTTATTCTCGTATAACAATGTTATTCTAAAACAATCTGGGGTTGAACATTTTTAACCACCTACCAATTAAATGTGATTTCGGATTATCGACCAACATATTTGTTTCAAAATAGCTAATAAATTTACTTTTTCACACCTTGAGATACATTAGGTAGATAAAGTAGAGTTAACTTATTCGTCGTATCTCGGCTGTGAAAGAATATTTTGGTCTTAACTTTCTCAAAGGCATTTTTTAAAAAGTTAGTTAAATGAACCAATGTGATTTAAAAGATGTAATGATTTGCTTTTTTGGGAAAATAAATAGATTTTAAAAAAAAAAATAATACTATTTAAGAGTTAGTTATCGCATAAACATATACAAAGGTGTTTTAAAGCAAGTTTAATCATGTGCGAAAAAAATATAACGACTCGAATAATAAACAAAAATTGTCCTTTTATGAATTATTTTTCTAAAAATGTGAATAATATAAGGAAAAAACTATTTTAGGTTAAAATATTTACTTTTAAATAATATTTTGATCACACTTAAGGGAGAGATATAACACACTCAACACCTTTCCTGGCATGTAATCAATTATCTTAAAATGCGCAGAATTATAATCAAAGTAAACGAAGTATAAGGCTCAATCATTTAAAAAATGTATGAATTCTATTATATTTATTGATTAAAATGATAAGTGATAATCACAAAAACATGCTAATCATTTTTCAATCAATCAAACATTTTGACATTTTTAAGCTAAATACCACTGAATTGAAAAATTTAAAAAAAATTAAAACCAATATTTAAATTTAATTGAATTTGAAAAGTAATTTAAAAATTAAATAAATAATAACATTGGAAAGAATTAGCAGATTTAGTGTTACTTATAGTGCGTTGATGCTCGTGCATTAGAATAGTAATCACGCAGAAAATGCAATAGAGAAAATTTTAAGATTAGACAAAAAATACTTTGATGTACATTGATATAATGATAAAGACAATGTAAACACTTAATTGTGCCATATTGAGCAAATATATTAATTTAAAATTATGAGAATCGTATGCATTCTTAATATATATATATATATATATATATATATATATATATATATATATATATATATATATATATATATTTATTTATTTATTTATTTATATATATATATATATGTATCGAAAAAAAAACTATCAGATACAATCACATAGTTGTAACGAACCCCTTTTAACCTACACCTACAGAACAACATTTGGACGTGGAAAGAAATAAATAACATTTGAAAAAAAGCTAATAAAAAAAGTAATTTTAAACAAAGTTTTCATCTTTTGTCATTATAGTTTCCAATGATCTAATTTAGTGTGAAATACATTCTCTTGCCAATTATCCACCAGCTTTATAAAGTCAATTAAATAAAATAAACTTTTTAAATTGGTATCGGCACGTTTTTTTTTATCCATGAAGATATTTCATGAAATATTTTAAAAATTGTGCTTTTTATTATATTCATGGAGCTAAGTATGAAATATAATAAAGCAACCATGTCAAAGCAATTTTTATCATAAACAAATTTGAACATCAAAAAAATTTTCACTCGGCAGTAAACATATATTAGCGTATATAATTATAACAAAAATATGATAATTATCATAAATAATTTTAATGTACATTAAAAGATTAAAGTGAACTATAACAAACACTGAAATAATAGCGTCAAGTAAGATTCGTTTTGTTCATGCAGTATAATTGTAATCACCAAAAAAAAAAAAGACAGAAAGATCAAATGTTGGAAAAAAAAATGTAAAATAAAACATGTTAATAAAAAGCTTATATTTAATTAAAAAATGAAAAAAATAAGTAAAGATTTGATTAAATTAGGTAATAATGCACCTCAATTTAAAAAAAAAAAATAGCTATAGTTGCAAATAATAGTTGCAATATTTATTACATGCTTTTGTTAAAGTACTAAAATATAATAGGTGTCCTAACCTTTTTTTCATTTTTTTTTATAATAAACTTAACATCAAAATTTGTAATGCAATTTTAAAGGTAAAATCATAATGTTATAATTTAAATATAGGTTTTACCAAGAAATCTTAAGATAAATCAATGTCATTACATCGAAATATAAGTATGACTGTCTGTGTGCTTGACTCCTACCTTCCTTTCTGCCAGTCTGTCTGTCTGTCTTTCTGTTCGTCTGTCTTTCTGTCTGTCTCTCGGTCCATCTATCCATATATGAATATATTTTCTCAATTTTATCCCATTTTTCCCTGCCATAGAAAATGTGTTTAAAGTTTGAAATTAGCCAATAAAATTTAAAATACATTAAAATATTCAGGTATGTACACATTGATGCTCTTTCCATGAAATTAGTTCTCAAACTATTTTAAATTATAAATTGATTTTTCATAATGTAAATCATCCAAGTAAAAAATCAAGTATGGCTAAACGCCTGGTTTTGAATATTGTACACAAGTGTTTTTCTTTTAACGCTGATGCAGATTAGTTTTATATACATCTACTGATGTGTATTGTAAGACTGCTGATTATTGATTTTCATTTTAAAAAAATCATTTAAAGCAATCTAAAGCTCGTCACTTCCCAGAATAAACGGATCATTTTTTAACAGCCAATCAGCTGTTGGCCTTAGGTAAGAGTCCCGCTGTAAAATCATGTTTAAAAACTCCTTGAAGTAAACAGATGAAGATTCAGGCAGTTGATATTGTATTGGATTCCCCGAAGCAGTTTGGAAGAATATTTGGGGTGTTAGAAGTGATGAGCACGGAGGTTTTCCTGTCACCATTTCTACCGCAGTGCAACCTACACTCCTGCAGTGAGGAAAAAAAGCATTTATATATATATATATATATATATATATATATGTATATATATATATATATATATATATATATACGATATTATTGTATGTAATGTCAACGCTAAATAGTAATTTATCTTTGTGATTGTATAATTCAATTATATCTAGTGTGATGATGAGATAATAAAGCTCGGTATCAGGGTTTAAGCTGAAGTACGGCTTTGACAGGGGTTGATTTAGAAATGTCACATATACTATAGAACTTTTTGTGTATAGTGGTATTTATTTCTTAAACTTACTTCAAAATAAAAATAGAAGTTTTAACCACAAAACCATGAAAGCTAATTATTGTGAACTTTAAAGGGGGCGAATATTGTAGTAGAGAATCCGACTAAAACTTAAAATTATTTTATCATAATTATGGACAGAAAAATTAATCTAATTACTAAATTGCCTGTAAATAACCCTACAATTAGATTTGAAAATAAACAAATAATACCGCCTTATATTATAGATCATGTAAAGAGCATATTCTTAATGAATAATAATTAATTGATTTGCAATCTATTTTTAGCAAGCTGTAGGGATAGATATTCTGAAATTGAATCCTTTTTTAATTATTTTTCATAAACTTTTTCCAAATATCAAAATTTTATCGATACAAATGTTTACCATATATCTGCTCTGCTTGTGTAGTTTCGTATTATGTTGCCTTCTGTATAAATCACTTCTGGCGCCATGTATCGTACTGTCCCAATTTTCGTAGCGACCCCATTGGCATCTACAAACTCAGATAAACCAAAGTCTGTAATCTTTAGGTTCCAGTCATCTTCCATCAGGACGTTGTTGCCTAGAAAAAATGTTTGTATTACACACGATAACAAAACTCGATAAAAGATTTCCTTACAAATGGGCCAATATTTAATTTTATATTATTTTTGCAATATTATTAACTATTGCATTTTTATTAAGATGTGGCAATTAAAAAGTAGAATATTTACTACACTTTTTTTTTGAAAATTTACATATTTGTAACGAAAGCCTTCCTTTTTACATTTACTTCGACAGAGCATGGATAAAGTATAATAATCAGGCTGAATAATAATCATGCTGATATTTTGATAGTTTCAGAATTCAAAGTATTTTGTCCGTGTGTCTGTGTACATGAAAACTTGGGTACCATATCAGTTAAGTTGAAAATTTCGTAAGTAAATAATATTTCAATGTTGCAGTGATTTGTTTCAGCTTTTAGGCTACTTCCATTCACCAAAAAGGATACTTACTTTATTTTAGGTTACTGGAAACCAATATATAGAGGATATTTTATGTTGAGTAGATGACATTTCACATATAACTATTAAATTGTATGCCCCTGTTTCCATAAAGTTTTAAATTATTTCCGTAAAACGGATGAGATATTGCACATTTTTGCATGATATTTCGCTTAGGAAGTCAGCTATACAAATATGTATATGATCTTTTTCTTAAATTATATTCAATTTGTGAGTGACCTCCGACAAACGAAAGTGGTACTTTGTTCCTATTTCTAGTTTCTAAAATACGACTCAAGTACATATTGTTTCCGTTAGGTAGACGTGTGAAGACGGTAGCCTTTAATATCCCAATGCAGAATTTGAATAGTTAAGTGTCTTGTCAAACTTTTCATAAAAATTACCTCTCTCTCTCTCTATGATATGCAACAAACCTTTGATATCCCTGTGCAGAATATTATTCTGATGCAGGTACTCTATACCTTCCAGAATTTGAGTAGTAAAGTGTCGTGTCAACTTTTCATCCAAACTACCTCTCTTAGATATAAATTCTGCTAGTGTGCCCTAAAAAATGACAAAACAATGAATCATATCTAATAAAAATGACATTTTATACTTCATATTGCAAAACTTATGAAAATATTAAAATTCAATCATGTCAGGTAATTTTGCTTACATTTTTCAGATATTCTAAAAATATATAAAACTCATCTTCTGTTTTCTTAAATCCGTGAAATTGAACTATTCTTCTGTGCTTTACTTTAAGTAAAATCGTTGCCTCATTTTTACACATATCCTGAAAATATTTAAAAAAAAAAATATATATATATATATATATATATATATATATATATATATATATATATATATATATATATATATATATATATATATATATATACAGAGTAATACATTCCTATCTGATCAATTGATTCAGCTTGCTACAAATAAACTAGACTTTTCATTACTTAATTTAAATGAGGACAATATCGCCACTGAGGTTAGTGGAAATGTTTTGTTGTTATTAACTCTTGTTTTATGGACAGAAATATATGCCTCATGCAAAAACCACTATTGTAATTGAGCCTGTGTCTTTTAATTATTTTGTTATAAATGATAATAAAATGTGTTTCTGGCTGTAGATAATAGACATAGGTCTCTGCTGTGGTGTGTGTGTGGGGGGGGGGTGTGGGGGGTGGAAGTGGCTATAAAGTTAGGTGATACACTTTCACCATCGAAAAGGTATATTAAAAACTGAATGTAAGCCTTTTAAAAGTTATTTTACAAATGAAATAAAAATGATCAATATATGTAACGTTCATGGGGTTTAGTAAATATTTTCGAATTAAGTCGCTGTCATAAATAAACCGGGAGTGATCTCCCCTAAACTTTCTCGAATATTCTAATATAATACTACGTGGGATGGCAACTCGGAATATAGATATGATTTTTGTTTACTTAAACTTTTAAAAATAGAATAAAATATAGTAGAAAAATGAATTGCGCACCAAGCAAACGCCAAAACAAAATGTGCATAATAGTGCGCAATATTATTAGTACTTTATAAATTTACATGCGTTTTTTTGAGAAATGGGAAATTGCGTTAATTAGTACTTCCGGTTAACGGAAATTACTCAAAATTTTCTAAAAGGTAGAAAATTAGATCTTTTACTTACATGTGAAATTTCATTTATCTATCTGAAATAGTACTCAATTTTTAGGCTTTTGAAAAATTCAAAGTAGAAAAAGTACCACTTCCGTTTAACGGAAATCGCACAAAAGTTGATACGGATCTACGATTTTGATAAAATACCTATATATGAAATTTCATTAACCTAGCTGTAACGGTACTCAAGTTATCGTGTTTACACACAGACAGACACACACACAAACAGACAGACACACAGACATACGGACAAGATTGCAAAATTATGTTTTTCCGTATCAGTGAGGTGTAAAACGTCGAGATTTGTAAAAATCTTGATTTTTTTTTTTGCACGATTACAACACTTTCTCTATACTTCGTATATACGAGAAAGTAAAAACAAAAATACAATTCGACAAAATGGGTTTATTATATGTATAGGCCTAATAAAATAAAACAGACCATGTTGCTACTAATAAACCTTTAAGTAATATTAAACTGTATTCCCGTCTCGATGCTCCGCGCGTTGCCTATCTCACTTTTGAAACGAACTTGAGCGTTATGACGCATACGTTCGTTTAAAACATTGCGATAGGCTATAGATAAAATATGGCATTATAGTCGTTCACTAACTTGAATCAGGCGCATCTCTGATCGCCCCGGCAGGGTACGATTTGGCGTCCCGGAATATTCTATGAGCATTATGGCTATCCTGAGTCCACGTTACACAACCGATTGGGCGCCGCGGAACACCCTTTGCTCGGTTTTATCTTCAAATGTCGTATGCCTCCCTGCCAATATTTTAGGGTGCTCTTCAAAACTAACGTGGGCGCCACAGTTCCTCACTATTACGGACAGTAAATAACGTACACTCGATTCTGTAGTGTTGACAAACCAGTGCCCCTACATACATGATCCTAGAAATATAACGCGGGCATTGTTTACATTTAAGTAACTCAGTTTTAGAAAACAAGGTCACACAGCAAAGAACCTAGGATTGGTTACACTTTGTTAAAACTATCTTTAAAATTTTTGTCATTCTTTGTTCTAAACTAAAAAAAAACCGTTTTTAACTATTTTCCGACAGGCTTTGCATCTATTGTAAATATAATTTACAGTTCATAAACCATGTAACATACTAGGAAACTATCCCTTTTTTCAAGTGACGTTAGACACGATTTCTTAGCAACGAATTTTTTGTCATCGGGTCTAGCTTCATCTGTTACAAGATGGACGCTACCAAATGAACCTGCACCTATTGCTGATTCATTAATTGTGAAGTTTTTCGGGAATTCTTCAGACAGGACAATATCTGTGGAAAAAATGCATTAATTTATAAAATCACAGAACATAGGTAGTATGTTCACTTTTTTCGTTATAATAAAGAGCGAAATAAGTTGGCGTATGGTGGAAGTTAAATTGATTTTTTAAAGAAATAAATGAACAGTGGAGGGTAAAAAGGTAAAAATGTAGTGCACTTCTCATTTTTTTTCTCTCCATACTTTCATAGAGCACAAAGCGTCCTTTCAATATGCACATTCTTTGAAATTTAAGAATTTAACCTCTTTTAGTAGGCAAAGTTCCAGTACTTTGTCCTGATCTCCAAAATATTGAGTTAGCATTTGCTGAAATAATTTCGTCTCCACTGGTGGTTAGCTCCCCTAACATGTCGTTGAATGTTTCGTCAAATAAAATTCTTTTGCTGGCCTGCATGCTCCTACATAACTCCTTTAAACACGCCGTCAAATTTCTTTGTTCCGAATTATCTTGAATAGCGAGAATTTGTTTAAATCTTGGAAGCAATGGAAGTATCTATAAGATCGTTGTATAATTAGTATATGCGGGTAAACATATACAATTTAAAATATAAATGCATGAATATCAAACAAAATAACAATGCTTCCTCATTACTTACACACATAATCACATGCAGATTTGATATAATATTTTAAGGGATAAGCGACTTTGGTTTAAAAACAAAAAGCTCGATAACACATTACCCTACTTACACGTTAAGATAAAGAATTAATAATTCCTCGGCCCAAATTAAAACAAACAATATTAATGTAAAATTTAAACTATGCAATGGTAAAATAAATGTAATAATACGTCTTGAAATTCATCTTCTCCTTCTGCCAGTTTAGCCAGACATTTCATAAGACCACTCAGTTTTATACCAAAATATGTTCTACTTGGATTCATAGCTGCCAAGGTAATGCCTTCAAGTGTTGCTTGTTTTAGTTCAGCTGTTCAGACAGTGAAAATATTTTGATTTAAAAATTGGAGACTTAATAACTATGAATAAAGTCTGTAAACTAAAATACATAGGTCTAAGTTTTTATTTTAATTTTATTTAAAAGCATCCCGTAATGTTTATATTGGTATTTTCCATGCTTTCGCATTTTCTAGGGCAGGGTTAGAGCACTTAGTGTGGCGACAGAAAACAAAGCATGTGATTACATAAAATAAACATGGCTTTGATGTATAGGTTAAGAATATATCATATTTTGTTTAAATTCAAAGTAAATACTTTTTTAAAAATAATTGTATTTGTTAAAACTGAAAAATAAATCTAAACAACCGCACAAACCAATGCCGAGTCAATTTTCATATCAGTATAAAACAAAATATTTGTATACCTTTCTTCTCATAAGTCAAATGTTCTCCAATCAAGGAAAGTAAAACTTTTATATACATCGAGACCCTTTTATTGCTAGATTTCAATTTGATGATAACCTTGTAAAACAGAATAGAAATAAATCGTATGTAAAATGTTACATTCAGAATTACATTTTATGTATACAACAGTATATAAAAATACTTTCAACAACAAATAAAACGATAATAAGATAATTTGAGCTAACCAAGAAGGTAAAAAAATTCATAAAAAACGTTTTAATAACAAGCTTTTATGTAATGATGCACTAAAAAGTAGAAAATAAATTATACACTACTATTTAAATTACTATAAAGAAAAGCGTGGGTCACTTTAGTACTTTAGTACCTATTGGATACCTTTACTAATATTTGAGAAGAGACACACGCTTTTCTTTATAGTAGTTTAAATAGTAGTGTATAATTTATTTTCTACTTTTTAGTGCATCATTACATAAAAGCTTGTTATTAAAACGTTTTTTATGAATTTTTTTTCAGTACTTTACATGTTTTATTTACAATAGTGTGACATGACTAAAAACCATTGCGCGTCTATTGAACGTGATGGCGCGCCTACTGAAGGTGATGGCGCAGCTATTGAACGTGATGACGCGTGTGGTGTGGTTGGATAGACATGCCTATTGATTCGGTCCAAATATTAATTAATTCATAAAAAATTAATTAGGCATCCAATTAAGTCAAATTTAGTTTCAGATTGCATTGTCTTCATGTCTTGACGCACGTGCCAAGTGTGAATCGTATCGGTCAAGTAGAACTGTCCGAATTTTCACTCCTACGTTTCTATCTAGACTGACGACTTACGACTGGCGACTGACGACTGGCGACAGACAGAGGAAGTGAGTTAAATAAAAGCTTGTAAAAATACATCAATGTGGTCGATTTAAAAAAAAAAAATCTTTTCTACTTTCTCGTATACACGAAGTAGCCTGTAGGGAAAGTCTTGCAATCGTGCAAAAAAAATTGAGATTTTTGCAAATTGTGACGTTTTGCAGCTCACTGAGTCGGAAAAACATAGTTTTGCAATCTTGTCAGTATGTCTGTGTGTGTATGTGTGTCTGTCTGTAAACACGATAACTTGAGTTGATGAAATTTCAGGTATAAGTATTATATCAAAATCGCAGATCCGTCTCAACTTTTTAGATATTTCTGATAACCGGAAGTGGATTTTTTTCTATTTTCAATGTTGCATGGGCCTATAACTTAAGTACTTTTTAAGATAGATAAATGAAATTTCACCTGTTAGTAAAAAATCTAATTCTCTGCCTTCTTTCAAATATTGAGTAATTTCCGTTGAACGGAAGTAGTAATTTCCACTATTTCCGATTTCTCAAAAAATTCATGTGCATTTATGAAGTACTTTTAATATTCCGCACTATTATACACATTTTTTTTGCGTTCACGTGGTGTGCAATTTTGTTTTCTACGAGATATTATTCTTTTTTAAAAAGGTTAAGTAATTAAAAATGGATTAAAATCATGTCTATTTCACAAGTTGCCCTCCCCTGTTGTTTTATATAAGAATATTCGAGAAAGTTTAGGAGAGTTCACTCCCGGTTTATTTGCATTATGTTTTTAAAAAGCAAAATATTAATGATTGGTATAAAGATAGTAGATTATACAGTTTAATTTAGCCATAATTATAAATATCGTGAATCAAATGCAAGACAATTACAAAGAGTCACTCAAAACTGTACTTAAGGCTAAAATGCTATGACTGACAAAAATAATTTCAAACTTGAATTTATTAAGAATGTGTATTTGGTAATATTATTTATTTTCTAATATTAACATTTTCGGGAAATTGGCCTTCAGGCAAACGGCATTCAGGCAAGTGTCTTTCGGGAAAACGTCCGGCTCCCGGCTGGGCCAGGCCCTACGCATGAGCAAAAGAAGACACCCCAACATGGCGCTGAAGTGGACTTCGCCTGGAAAGCGAAAGAGAGGAAGACCACTGGGAACATGGAGGAGGGAGATGGAAGAAGAAGTGCAGGCTACTGGCAAGACCTGGCATGAACTAAAGTGGCTCGCCCAAGACAGTGGAATGGCGGAGATTTTTTGCTGCCCTATACTTCACAGGGGGTTATGAGGATTAAGTGAGTAAGGTAACAGGTTAAATCATCACGCATTACGGACATTTCACGAAATGCTTCTGAATCTTAATGAAAGAGTTAAAAGATATATTTGTTCAAAACAGTCATTTTAAACTGAGGTTACGATGGAGTGGGTGAAAAGGGGGGGGGGGCAAGAAATAAGAGTGGTTTTAGGGACAAAAAGATTAGTTACGTCTAGACCTAAAGTGGTAGTGTTTTCTTTCGGTGACATTTTGTAGATAGTCATTTTTTTCTGGAAACTAATTGATCAGGAGCTGATTCGCCTTAGAAAATGTGTCGGGAGCCAATTTGTCGCGGCTTTTTTTTTCTGGTCGGTGTTGTTTAAAGGTCATTTATTGGGGTCGTTTCGTAGGGGCCGTTTTGTTACCGGCCGTTTAGATTGCATAGCATTTAAAAGTTATTTCTTTATGATTCATATATTTCTATTGGTCGTTTTGCACATCGTCTTTTTTTTTAAAATATAAATAAACTATTGAAAAATAAAAATAGAATTTGAGCATATTAAGGAATAAGTCTTCAGATGAATATTAAGATTTGATTGAACGTTATTTTTAAAAATGAGGCATAACTATTCTCTCTGTCAATGTATAACCTCATTGGAAAATATTTTTAATTACATTTGAAAATTCATTCTTCATTTTGATATATAAATATATTATGTCTATAAACTCCAAAGTGTAATGCCCCATCGATATCAATAATATCTCTTATAATACACATTACTTACCTCATCAGTATTTGCATTACGAAAGTAGTCACTTCTTTTCGTGTGGCAAAAAATATTGTATAAAATGGACAACACGTTATATAGAATACAGCTCGAGGTGGTACTCTGGTAAAAAGATGTTTTCAAGGATAGATTATGTTTACGTGGACTTTGGACAGGTCTACTAAAGGAATGTAAGTACAGTTTGTTTCAATTTTAAAATTTACCTGCAGATTAGTTTGCCTGTTTAGACAAGCTGTCAATATTTCAACAATGTTACATTCGGCCATACGCTTAAGAAAATAATGGGATTAAAAAAAAATCATTATTATTAGACATTATTTCAAGATTATTAAGCATTTCAGTAAATTGATGAATTTTGAACTACGCAATTTTAGGAAATTTTACAGCACTAAAAAGTTTGAAAACAATCGAGGTCACAGAAAAAGGTTAATTCTATTTTACCAGACATATGGAACGTCAGGTTCTGAAAAGTATAGTACATTTTTATTTTTATAAAATTTTAAAGCATTTATCAATGTGGCTTATTATCCAAACATCTTTACCTCTGAGAATTCAGGGCAATATGAACAAACAAATCGTAAAAACACCAGGAAACAAACTGTCAAGGAAGATTCTGTGACGGTTGTGTTCAGTAGATCTTCTTCAATTATGTATTTAACTGTCATTTCTGTTTATATATATATATATATATATATATATATATATATATATATATATATATATATATATATATAAATAAATATATATATATATATATATATATATATATATATATATATATATATATATATATAGCTTATACCCGTGCTTCGCTACGGTGTGGATATGGATAATACCTCAGCGCACCACGCTGACCGCGGGTGGGGTCCCCGCATTGAGACGGATATTCCTTTAGCGCACCGCGCTGGGCACGGGTTTCGGTAGCACCTTGGGGTGTACATGAATATTCACGAAAATTAAGCTACTGTAAAACAAAGTGGCACAACGCTCTCATGGACGCCCAGATATTCCTCCTGGAAGCCAGATAGAAACTCTGCTCCCTTTCCCCCCATCTATTCCTCATTGCGGGGACTTGCGGCATTGTAGTTACGCCCCTGACTCTTTAAGCAATATGTGTACACTTTAGATGATGCTAACTTTATAATTATTCAATGTGTTAAGAATTGTATTTATAAATCATATTTAACTTTGACCTTTCATTTCCCCAGACGTCTGAAACACTATCTAAGACAACAATTTCCGATCAAGGCTATATTCCGTTGAAACAAATTACTCCCGTGACAATGCTTGTCATTACTCAAAGAAATAATAATAAAACAGAAAAACCTCTGACATATTTACATACCTTGCCTACCGAAATACAAGAAAAACTAGCACTAGCATTGAGAAAACATCAAGCACACCAAATATCCAAATGATTATAAAAAAATCGGGGTTCCCTTCTTAAATTCCGGTAATCGTTTTCAAAGCATAGTATAGAGACCCAAGCGTTTTGTTTTAGTTTTTCAAGTAGTAGTTTGTTGATATGTATCTAAAAATCATATATTTTCTCGTTTTTAGTGCATTATTAAATAAAAGTGTTATATTAAAACATTTTTATGAATTTTTTTCAACTTTTCAACTTTTGGTTACTAAATAAAAGCAATTAGAACATGAGGAAATTGGATTTAAGACAAAATTAACATTGACATATTAGATTTTACCACAATATTTGTTCTGTAAAAGTAATATCTGTATGTTTTTCTTTTTGTACAACATTTCGACAAAACTGTATAATATTCTGTGATAAACGTAGAAATTCACTGCGGAGAATATTCTCACAGATGAATATTCTTCTAACACTTCAGAAATACTGCTTAGCATCAAATCCTCAGTTGGAATCTGGGGACAAAAGAATAGGAAGTGTTAAATTTTAGTTTAAAATTATCCAATAAGAATTAACAATAAATAGATTTATAATTTGCATATTTTTTTCAAATGATTGATAAAGTATTTAATTGTAAATGAATACAATAGGGCTATCATGCAGAATATAGAATACGAAATATAATATAAGCCGTAAAGTCGTGTGCCATTCCGTACGTCAGCCATTTGTATGGGCACTTTTTTCTTCGAAAAATCTGTAGAAAATAGTCTTTGACAAGCTTTTATTTAGCATACATTGTCTATAAATAGGTAGATTGCAAATTTTGGAACTCAATTTTGACCTTACTTCTAATGCAGCGATTTTATTTAAACATTCGAAAGACAATACAATGATATGTACTTGAATCTAATTAGATAGATAATCATTCATTAAACTTTAACTTTATAATATGTCTAAATTTGGTATTAAACCTTAAGCGATTAAACGATACGCCTGTTTACATCGATGAACTTATGTTTTTGCCCTAGCATCAACCGCGAAATGAATAGAAGCAAACAGCTGATTTTGCAAAGATACGCTACTTATACGCTACTTGTCGTGTTTTGAACGCAAACATTTTAGTAATAGCTTTTGTAGTATTAACCTTCATTTAGAATGAATGACTAAAATGTGAAAATAAACCAAATATAAAAATCTTTAAAATAGCATTGTTTTTAAATGCACTGAGAATAATAATTAATTTATACTTGCTATCTCTAATAAATACTGTGCTTGTTATAATATGTTAGAGATCACATGATTTACAAAAAACTTTTTTTGTTTTTAAAGAAAGCACGTTTGTTTTATATTTTCTTATTTCCAGTGCATTATAAAGCTTGCCTGTTAATGTATTGGTTTTTAAATTTGGTTAATGTTGTCCTCATACACATTTCTATTTATGCTTCAATTAAATGTAAACAATTATTTAAAGCTAAATGGTTAACTGTCGGTTACGGCACTTGCCGCTGCCGCCAGAGTAATCTTATCTATTAAGAACTTTAGACTTTTTGCCTAGGGCCTACGAACTTTTGGGGGCATACGAAAGTTAGAAAGCAAACAACTGAAAAATAAAATTTAGATGTCTGCAAAATTCAGAAAATGAGATACTGAGAAAATACATTTCTTGTATCCTACGACTAAATAATCCTAAAATATAAAAACCCATGAGTGGAATTCTCTCTCTCCCTCTCGCTGATGGTCTGTCAACATTTTTATGTGGCAATAATATCAGTATTTTCTATAATGTGTGTAGAATATAAAGATTCGTACTTTAGTTAACAAAAACCTAATGATAATACTGAACGTACAAAGGAATTTTTAATTAAAATAAAATTTATTTTCCAGGTAGATTTTCAGTACCGATTCAGAGTTTTCAGTTTAGATTTTGGTTTTCTGCAGATATATGTTATTGTTATTAGCTAATACATTGCTTACGATTAAAGTTATGTTCTTAACAATTATTTTTTAGTCACACTAGCTACGTCACAACAACTAATTTATATCGCAGTTACACAGTAACACTGTTCAATTTTGGCCATGACTTTTTCCATGTTGACTGACAACTATAACGTTGTTGTCAATTGTGGCGTTGGAAAGTTTCCACTAGTTACACACACATACATATTATAAGGGGCGGAACTACTGTGCCGCCAAACCCCGCAATGCTGGGGGGGGGGGGGGGGGCAGGCTATTTCGTGGCCCACAGCCGACCTTTTTTTTTAAATTTAAAAACAATAATTTTCGTGCTTTTTTTTTGACTTGATGGTTGTTTTGTAACGATAATACTGTAGCTGCTGTTGGATTATCTTTATTGTGTGTGTGTGTGTATGTGTGTGTGTGTGTGTATGTGTGTGTACGTGTATCTCAAAAAAGTGTATCATGTCAACACCTAGACAACCAGTCATAGTCAAAAAGGCCTAATTCATTACAGATCTATAGGAAACCCCTCTTTACATGTACTTATGTTAGGATAAGTAAACTCGGTTAAATATAAAAAAAAAAAAATGTCTACCCCGCATACCTCACGTACCAACGCACTAAGTGGGAGTTACCTCTCGCCCATAAAAAAGCACGAGCCTAGCGAGACTTCGTTTCGTCTCAAAACCTGATTTAACCTGGTTAATGGATACACGGACTCGCCGCGGGTCGATCAATATTATTTCTTTACTCGATGAAAAACCTACGATACTGTACGTATAACTATTAGTGGAAAGTCCGGGACCAGCTGTCACACTATTGTTAAATGTTTTGCGGAGAGGCGCTTAATGGCTTCGATTAATTACCTGGTGTGATCACTTCAATGAACCCGCCCTTAATAAACCACGGGCAGCGCCGGAAAACTTTGTCGGTGGATCGATAAGTAACAGCTGTCGCTAACAAGTAACAGGTGTCGCTAATCGTTATCTTTAATGAATGCTCTATTTTTGTAACGTTCGTTGTGTTGGAGGACTTAACCTGTTTTTTTTTGTACACATTCGTTGTGGAGGAGAATATAAAAATTAAAATCAAACTAATTAAAATGAGTTTCAATCAAATAAACAACAAGTAAAGAAATAAACAAATAAAAAATTTAAAAATTAAAAAAAAATAATCATTTAAAAAATTTAAAAATTAAAAAAATTTAAAATTAAAAATTAAAAATTTAAAAAAATTAAAATCAAATTACGTAACTAGTCAATAATAATTAAACTAATTAAAAATTAAAATTTAAAAATAAAATTTAAAAATTAAAAAAAAAAAAAATAAAATTACGTAACTCGTTAATAAAAAATTAATTAAAATTTTATAAACTCATTAAAACTAATTTAAAAACTCATTAAAATTACGTAACTAGGTCACTAATTACGTAACAAGGTCACTGATTACGTCTCAAGGTCACTGATTCCTTCACAAGGTCACCGAAGGTGACCCACCCTCACCCTCCGCCAACGCCAGGTGGGGGAGTATTTTACTATATGTCTTTGCGCCTGCGGCTCACCCACCTCCGCCTCCCTCTGCGCCAGGCTGGGAGTATTTTGCTATATCTCATTGTACCAGGCTACGCCTGCGGCTCCTGCTCCTCCCGAGTATTTTACTATATAACCTTTGCGCCTCCGCCTCCACTCCTCCGCCAAAAATAATAATCAAAAGTGACCTAATATACTACTCTACTATTCTATACTATAACAATTGAAAATAATATAGTCATTTTGGTTTTATATACGTTTACTTCTTTTTGTTTTACCAAAAATGTGTTAGTAAAAGTTTATACATAGTAACAGTTGTCCTGTTGTACCATTTTTACCTCGTTTAGTAGGTCTAGTGGCCATAATTATACGATAATCGCAGTATTAAAACATGTTATAAAACAAGCAATAAAAAAGGAGCTATTCGGTACAATATACTAGTTTTAATAGTTCTTAAAATTTTAGCAAAGAGTACCGCCTTCACCCACTCCCTTCGACGGTATTCTATTTTACTGATCAGTTAGAGATACAAGAATCCGTAATAATCTATATATATATATATAAAGCAATGTATGTGTGTCTGTCTGTGTGTCTGTCTGTGTGTCTTTTATGCATTACCACACCTCTTATCACATCGCCTTCGAACTTTGGGAAGTTGTTGAGAATATTCCTGGTGAGGTTTCTGCGGAAAAAAAATTCAAATTCGCAGGGGTGGCGCCCCGGCATGGCGCGATTTGTTTTTTCTCTATATACGGTATATAAAAAATAAAAGTCAATTTTGGTTAGGCATCGTTCATCCGCTAGCCATGAGGCTTTGGGGAGTTCATTATACCACTCTAGGGAAGGGTTCTGTAAACAAATAATTTTTAATTTCGCATGGCGGCGCCACGGGAGGGTCCGATTTTTATCTATATACGGTATATAAAAATAATAAAAGTGAATTGCAGTGACACTGTTCATTCGATAGGCATGAAACTCTAGGGAAGGGTTCTGTAAAAAATATTTTTTATTTACCCAAAGGGCGGCGCCACGGGAGGATCCGTTTTTTTTCTATATACGGTATATAAAAATAAACGTCGATTGCGATTTCACGGCATTCATCTGATAGCCATGAAACTTTGGGGAGTTAATTATTACAGTCTAGGGAAGGGTTCTGTAAACAAATAATTTTTAATTTCGCAAGGGCGGCGCCACGGTAGTGTGCGATTTTTCTCTACTTACGGTATATAAAAAATAAAAGTCAATTTTGGTTTGACATCGTTCATCCGACAGCCATGAGACTTTGGGTAGTTAATTATAACACTCTAGGGAAGGGTTCTGTAAACAAATAATTTTTAATTTCGCAAGGGCAGCGCCACGGGAGGGTGCGATTTTTCTCTATATACGGTATATACAAATAAAAGTCTATTTCGGTTTCACACCGTTCATCCATGTACCATGAAACTTTGGGGGATGATCAGATTACTCAATGGTAGGGTTCTGCAAAAAAAAATATTGTTTATTATTGCAAGGGCGGCGCCCCAGGGAAGAGCGATTTTTTTCTCTATACACGGTTTATAAAAAATAAAACTCGGATGCGGTTCATCCGAGTGCCATGAAACTTTAGGGAGTAAATGAGAATACTCCCGAGAATAAGGGGTACTACTATATTCAGCGGTAAAGCTACAACAGGCTTCTAAAAATAACTTTATAACACGAGGAAATGCTTCTGTACAGTTTCGTCACCTTGCGAAAGATGAAAAAAATAACTTTTTGAATATGAGGAGCCTACTGTAGAGTTTCGTCACTTTGCGAATGATGCAATAAGCATCTATTATTAGACAATCCAGTCAGAAAATGAGATCGAGCATATAATAATAGATCATTAGTAACGCTAGCATATTGCATCAGTCACACTGATGTTTAAAACACGTCAAATACGTTTTTTACGTGTTAAAGAAAAAAAATCCTGTTCATTTGAATCACTTTAGCGAATGACGAAATCTGCATCATTATTAACAGGATGCTATTTGGCACGATGGCGCCTGTTAGTTTTAAGGAACCAGGGGTCGTACGCCGCGCCTATACGATAGTGTAATCGGGGGGTGGGGGCCCTGAAAGCGCCCCTCTACGTCTCTGACAAATGGGTGGTCACCGAAGTGTGTTCTACCATATTATTTGGGTGAGTGCTTAATGTACACTCAATGTTTTCTTGCGGTAGTGTAGGTAAACCCGTGTCCCGATATTTATTATCCAAGCGCAGGCATTGTTTACATTTAAATAACTAATTTTTAGAAAAGACGGTCACGCGTCTAAGAACATATGATTGGTAACGCGTTGGTGAAATCCTTCTAATAAATTTCGTCAAACTTTCTTCTATCCCCGCGGCAACGCGCGGGGGACGGGTACGCTAGTTTAAAAAAATTGTAATACTGTGATCCAGGCAAGAAGTAATGCAATCAAGAAAAAGTATCTGATATCTAATGTTAAAGTTGAGAGAATTGTACAAATTAAACAAAGAACTGGTCGTGTTATTTGTCTACAAACCTGGCTAGTGAAATCGTACATTACGCATTAATACAATTAATTTCTATTCGATGTGTTAAAAAATTTGTCTAACCACCGTTCCGGTGTAAACCCAACCTATTTACCTTGGCAAAAATGCGCCCCCACCCACCACTATTTTCTTATTTTACTGTTACACAAATATACAATTGGTTTCTTTTCTAAGCGTTAAATGACTAACCTATCACCAATCCTTGATTATTGTTGACGAGAAAGCTCTCCCTCCCCCTCCCCACTATCTTGGACAAAGTTGGTAGAGCAGGTTTTTAACGTTAATAATCATACATAAGTAATCATACATTAGTAAAATTATTTCCTTCCTTTCTAAGTGATAACGTTTATCAAACACAAATTTTGGGTAAATCCTCTTAATTTATTCGTCGAAAAAGCTCCCCATCCCTATTTTAAAAAAGCTGGACAGCAGTTTAAGGGTCAATGCTTCTTAAGGGTAAATGCTTTACAATTATACAATCAATGTAGAAAACAAATCAGTACGCACAGGCTTGTAGCCGCTATGTTTCTTAACTTTGACTGTTTATAATTCAAAACTGCGGATTAAAACGAGTTTTTACATTTTCTTTCTACCCCTTTTCTCCCCCCGCCCCACCCCCAAGCAACGCATTTACTTACAAACTGTTAAAAACATAACATGTTTTGAGAACTGGTACCAATGATATACATTTTGGCGTCTATTTTATTCAATAAACATACATCAATTGCATACTTTAAAAAGAAAATTGCCAATATACCTTAGTATGCAGCTTGTTCAAATATGTAGCTAAAAAGCTGATCATTGACCTGAAATAAAAGACATTCAATTAGTTACAAAGACAATATAATTGAACTATTTAAATGTCGTTATCATAGGTAAGTTTCTTGATATTAACTATTTAAATACCTTTAAAATGGCATGTAGCATTTTTACTTTCTCGTAGATAAAGTATTGTAATCTTTAAAAGAAATTTACATTTTGACATATTTCGACGTTGTAGGCATTCAGAACAGTATCTTAGTGTATAAATAACGTTAGTTTACAACTGTCGGAACAAGAAAATCTTTGTCGTAAATGTCGTTTAAGCTATAGGCCAGTAATATGTGAAATTTGTAGATTCGTTTCAACATTTTAGCAAATTCCGGTCAACCATAGCGTAATTATTCTACTTCCGGTTTCTATAGGGTCATTAACTTGAGTATTGTTAAGTATTGCATGATTTCCTATAACAGTAAATATTACTTGCTTTTCTTTACAAAACCATAAGAATGTAAACTTTATATATCACTTTTAGAGCGCAGTTTTTTTTTTCTTTTTAAATTGCGTATAACAAAACTTTAAAATTGAGTACAGACGCTCAAAATAAGATAATTTTATATTGTATTCTTATAAAGCTTTTCGATCAAATATTCCCTTTAAAAAATAGTATTTCCAGCCTCTGAACTCTCTCTCTCTCTCTCCCTCTCTCTCTCTCTCTCTCTCTCTCTCTGTATATATATATATATATATATATATATATATATATATATATATATATATATATATATATATACAGCCGTCCGGGCCAGGCCCTGCTCTGGCCTCTGTGAAAAACCTATCTGTCAAGGACCATTACCTGTGTGTTTAGTAATCATCATTTACCAGGCATTGCCCACCCTAACCACAACCAACCAAAAAAAAACCGCAAGCACAATTACAAATACAAACACAAACGAAAACAAAAACCTAACAAAAAACCCATTCACAAACACAAATACTAATACAAAGACAACACAAACGAAAAAGCAAATGAAAGCAAACCTAATCCAAACACAAACCCAACCACAACACAAACACAACACAAACACAATACAAACACAATACACACACAATACCAGCACAACACAAACAAAACACAACACAAACACAACACAAACACAACACAAACACAACACAAACACAACACAAACACAACACAAACACAACACAAACACAACACAATCCGCAACGGCTAGTATTATATCACGTGTCTATAAAAGAATTTTCTGTTGCGACCGACAAAAAACGAATTCCCCTTCGTGCACAAAATGGACAGACAAAACGAATGAGCAAAGAAAAGACAAATAATAACCTTCGGGAATTTCCGTTCCCGAATCAAGATGTCTTTTGTTACTTCATCTGTCTTTGTTTAATAATAATAATAAGAAAACAGTTCGTTCGGTGTAAGAATTATATAAAAGACAGTTTTAAAAATACCAACGACATTGCACTTAATCAATCCCCGCTAATTATGTAATTGTTTTTTTCCTAACACCAACACAAAGTAATAAAAAGTAAATTCTTTTTGCCCCCGATTTAATATTTTTTTAAAGGGAAGTAACTGTGTTTTCCTAATCAAGGGATGTAATGAGCGCTAAAGGACTAAATGCAAATACATTTCAGACATAATTAGAAAACTTATAAACGTTGATACACTTTTTAGAAAAAAAAATTTAAGTTTATAATTGAAAATTATTATTCTAAGTATGTGAAATGAAAATTGTTTTTAAAAACTTTCGATTTTTACAAGCTTTTATTTAACTCACTTCCTCTGTCGTCAGTCGTCAGTCGACAGTCTGTCTAGACCGAAACGCAGGAGTGAAAATTCGGAAACTTCTACTTGACCGATACGTTTCACATTTGACAAACGGGTCAAGACATGAAGACAATGCAATCTGAAATTAAATTTGACTTAATTGGATGCCTAATTAATTTTTTATGAATTAATTAAAATTTGGACCGAATTAGTAGGCATGTCTAGCCAACCACACCACACGCGTCATCACCTTCAATAGCTGCGCCATCACGTAATGGCTGCGTTCAAAAACCATTGCGCGCCTACTGAACGTGATGTTCAGTGGGCGCGCAATGATGCGATACTGGTCTTACTTTAATATTAATTGCTGTCTCTGTCAATATCATCGAAGACAGAACAGCAAGTTTGCATATATAGGTATCACTTTTATTGTTTAGTTATTTCAATGAAGTGGGTACAATTTAATATAATCTAAGATTATTGCGTGACCAGCATCAATAATGACCCGGTATCACTTGAGTTTACGTCCTTTTGGGGGGGGGGGGGGGGGGAGAAACAGGGCCAATTCAAAGGCCCTTTGTTTTATTTAAATTATAGGTTGCTGAGATAGTCAGGTCGCGAGCTTTGTGCCCGCCCACAATCTGGACCAAAGTGTTCAGGCTGGATAAGAGCCCCACGCTGCCCCGGCTGGTCAAATGAAAATAGAAAATAGTCGAGCACGGGCATCAACAGTGTCAACTGGAACAATCGTCGTTTGAGTCTTGATCTCTTTTTCAGGAAAGATAATAAGGAGAATGAGAGGGATGTTACGTCCCTTACATGCAGCGTTCCTGATTGTGTGTGTTGTGTGCTCCAACAACATGTACCCTCTTTGTGTATATAATTCTAGCCCATGTTTGAATGTGTTTACATGGAGCGAGAGGTGTTCACGTGAGGACTGTCAGTTAACTGGTGTCAGAGCTTGTGCTAGAATGTGTGGCGGTTGGTTGGCGTGTGACTTTGGACTTATTTTATGCTTGTAATATTCTTGAATATATATTTATATCTAATATATAAAGCTCAATTCTGTATGTAAAAATAAGTTTGTCGTGGATACTTTGATGGATTTAAGTGTTAGATTATTATAGTGCTCACGGTCTAAATTTATGAGTTAAAAAAATTAATACTGAAAGTGTTGAAAAATAATTTTCATTTTTCAAACTGATAGTAATAATTGTAGACATGTTCGTTAAACACAATTTCAAAAAAATATCATCTAATTATGTCTGAAAATTATTCATATTTAGTCCTTTAGCACTTACTTCCCTTTGATAAATTAGGAAAACACAATTACTTCCTTTATAAAACATTGCATTAGTGGAAAATAATTTATTTTTATTACTTTGTTTTGGTGTTGGAAAAAAATAATTACATAATTAGCGGGGATTGATCAAGTGCAAATGTTGTAGGTATTTTACGGATAAGCTTCGAGTATTATAATTGTTCATTTGGTTTGGTTTGGCACCTACGTTCGTTTAAGTGAGTGCAAAAGACTATGAATAAGTTGGGGTACTATAGTCGTTTATTAAGCTGAAACAGGCGTTTATGTTCGCGTTTGTGTTTTCTTTGTGTTTAGGTTGGGTTTACGTTAGTGGTTGCGTTTTGATTTGGTTCGTTTTTGTTCTTTCTTTTGTCGTTTTCGTTTGTGTTTTTTTCTTAAGGTTTGTGTTTGTATTTGTGTTTGTGGTTGGTTTTGCGTTTGGATATGATTTGTTTTCGTTTTCTTTTTCGTTTGTGTTTTTTTCTTTGGGTTTGTGTTTGTGTTTGTGGTTGGTTTTGCGCTTGGATTTGGTTTGATTTCGATTGCTTTTTCGTTTGTGTTTTTTCTTTGGGTTTGTGTTTGTGGTTGGTTTTGCGTTGGATTTGGTTTGTTTTCTTTTACTTTTTCGATTTTTTTTTCTTTGTGTTCGTATTGGTGTTTGTGGTTGTGGTTGGGTTTGTTGTTAGGTATTTGTTTTCGTTTGCTTTTTTTTTTGTTTTTTCTCTGTGTTTATATTGGTGTTTGTGGTTGTGGTTGGGTTTGTTGTTAGGTTTTTATTTTCGTTTGTATTTGTAATTGTGTTAGCGTTATGTTTGCGTTTTGTTGGTTTGGTTTTGGTTGGTTGTGGTTTGGGTGGGCAGTGCCGTGATTATGATGATTACTAAACACACAGGTAATTGTCTTTACAGAAAGGTTTTTCACAGAAGCCAGAGCAGGGCCTGGCCAGGACGGCTAGTATATATATATATATATATATATATATATATATATATATATATATATATATATATATATATATATATATATATATATATATATATATATTTATATAAAACTTCTTAGTACTATTTGTCATTACCATTAGAGTTAAATAGTCTGTTGTATCATGCGCTGTACTTTAAGTATTCGTTGAAAACCCCTAGACTGAAGAACCCAACACTTAAGTTATACTTATATTTATTCTTAAAGAAAAGTGTCCTTTTTTACTTTCTCTTATATACGAAGTATAGAGAAAGTCTTGTAATCGTGAAAAACAATATCGAGATTTTTACAAATCTCGACGTTTTACACCTCACTGAAACTGAAAAACATAATTTTGCAATCGTGTCCGTATGTATGTGTTTGTGTGTGTATGTGTGTGTCTGTGTGTAAACACGATAACTTGAGTACCGTTACAGCTAGGTTGATGAAATTTCATATATAAATATTTTATCAAAATCGTAGATCCTGATCAACTTTTGAGCGATTTCCGATAACCGGAAGTGGTACTTTTTCTACTTTGAATTTTTCAAAAGCCTATAAATTGAGTACTATTTCAGATTGAGTTGAAATGTTGAGTAATTTCCGTTGACCGGAAATACTAATTTACTTTTTCCGATTTCTCCGATTTATAAAGTACTAATAATATCCCGCACTATTATGCACATTTTATTAGGTGTCCACTTGGTGTGCAATTCTTTTCTTTTACGAGATTCTATTCTATTATAAAAAGTTTAAGTAATTAAAAATGAATTACAAATATTGTCTATGTCCTGAGTTTTATATTATAATATTCGAGAAAGTTTAGGGGAGATCACTCCCGGTTTATTGTATACTAAGATAAAAAAACAAATGGTAGCTGCAGTGAGGTTAATGTAATTAGTAATAAAACAGTATTAGTTACCTCACAAGTTAAAGACAGTTACAAGTACTATGGACGTTTCGACCCAAGGTCTTCGTCAGCACACAACAGTGTGATTACAGATTAGACAAATAAAGACAAACAGTAACACATTTTTTGACTTAGCTCGACAGTGAAAACACGTCTTGTCTGCTAGCCACGATATCCAAAAGAAAAGACGCGTGAGAAGGACGCTTGGACACCGTATAGGGGTGGGGTTGGGGGCGTGGTGTATGCGGGAGGGGGGGGGGGGTTGTTAGGTGAAAGATATCTGTTCATTCAAGCCATCGGGTGCCCGTGTACCAAATTTAAGTATTAGTCGCGTTTCAGTGCTAAGGCGATTTTTAAAATTGTGGCAAAACCGAACGGCGGTTACACAAAAGTCCTTTTTTAAGTCATGCCCACTCTTGTTGAAGTGTTTGGCCACAGGAAGACCATCTTCATTGTTGATTGATCGCAGGTGTTGGCTAACCCTGTCAGACAATCTTTTCCCCGTTTGTCTGATATAAAAGATGTTGCAACGTCTGCACTGGATGACGTAAACTACGTTGCGGGACTCACAGTTGAAGTGATTTTTAATTTTGAGGGTTCCCTTCGACAGCTGGAGTGATTCAACCTGAAGGGTGAAATGACAGGTATTGCATTTACGGGGACAAGGAGTGGTGCCAAAACCGGTGTTGGTAGTGGGTGGCAGGCGGCTGCGAACTAAAAGGTCTCTAAGGTTGCGTTCCCTTCTATACACAACCAAAGGATTCTGTTGAAATAAATGGCCTAAATGGTGGTCTGACTTGAGGATAGAATAATTTTTTATAGTAATATTTTTAGCCAAAACTGAATGAGGATGGTAGGGTAAGATGAGTTTAGTTCTATCTGACTTTTGTTTTGGAAATTGTTGAAGGGAGGCTTAACACAACCAACGTTGGGACGACTGTATATTACAAACCAACCGACTCACATTCATATCTGCTTTACTCTTCGTCACACCCCCCGGCCTGCAAAAATTCTATACCATTCTCACAATTATTAAGACTGCGACGTATTTGTCAAGATGATGACGACTTTTGGATCAAGGCCCATGAGCTACTACAGTTCTTCCGACAACAATTTCCAAAACAAAAGTCAGATAGAACTAAACTCATCTTACCCTACCATCCTCATTCAGTTTTGGCTAAAAATATCATTATAAAAAATTATTCTATCCTCAAGTCAGACCCCCATTTAGGCCATTTATTTCAACAGAATCCTTTGGTTGTGTATAGAAGGGAACGCAACCTTAGAGACCTTTTAGTTCGCAGCCTCCTGCCACCCACTACCAACACCGGTTTTGGCACCACTCCTTGTCCCCGTAAATGCAACACCTGTCATTTCACCCTTCAGGTTGAATCACTCCAGCTGCCGAAGGGAACCCTCAAAATTAAAAATCACTTCAACTGTGAGTCCCGCAACGTAGTTTACGTCATTCAGTGCAGACGTTGCAACATCTTTTATATCGGACAAACGGGGAAAAGATTGTCTGACAGGGTTAGCCAACACCTGCGATCAATCAACAATGAAGATGGTCTTCCTGTGGCCAAACACTTCAACAAGAGTGGGCATGACTTAAAAAAGGACTTTTGTGTAACCGCCGTTCGGTTTTGCCACAATTTTAAAAATTGCCTTAGCACTGAAACGCGACTAATACTTAAATTTGGTACACGGGCACCCGATGGCTTAAATGAACAGATATCTTTCACCTAACAACCCCCCCCCCTCCCGCATACACCACGACCCCAACCCCACCCCTATACGGTGTCCAAGCGTCCTTCTCACGCGTCTTTTCTTTTGGATATCGTGGCTAGCAGACAAGACGTGTTTTCACTGTCGAGCTAAGTCAAAAAATGTGTTACTGTTTGTCTTTATTTGTCTAATCTGTAATCACACTGTTGTGTGCTGACGAAGACCTTGGGTCGAAACGTCCATAGTACTTGTAACTGTCTTTAACTTGTGAGGTAACTAATACTATCTGTTTTATTACTAATTGTATACTAAGATATGGTTTACCAAATTATTTGTTGATGAACTGGTATTACAAACGTTTGAACCAAAAAAAGAAGCGAAATTTGTAACGTGTGTAGTTTCTAGGAAACACTGACGTGTAGTGTGGCACGGAATTCATCAGGAATCCAGAGCCGACAATAATAAATTTATAGTTAAAAAAAAGTAAATTTTCTTTCATTTTTGACTTAATGTTTGTGTTGTAAAAATTACCGTAGCTGCGGTTGGATTATCTTTGTTCTATAGACACCAACACACGCTCTTGTATCTTCTTTTTCCCTTTGTTTTTAAACCATTGTGAAAGCCGAGTCTTTCTACTACAATTAAAATTATCAAAGATAAGCAAATGATCAAATTCCTTCCATGACTTATTTACCTTTTTTAAAAAAAATAGTCAAATAGGGTTGATCATAAGCTCCTTAATAATAGATTTGTACTAAAAAAATTAAAAACCAATTACTTCTCTTAATTATTATTTCTTTATAAGTAATTACTAAAGAATGACATTGTAATAAATCGATAATATTTAAAAAATTAATAATATATATAAAAAAAAACATAAAAATAAACACAGTACGAGACACCATTACTTATACAAAGCATTCATGTTTTATATTATTTTTGACCGACTGGATGTTAAGATGGCTTCTATCAAAAATTAATTAAAACTGATTTTCACAAAACACACTAATGCACTTACACACATAACATGATGTTGAAATTTTTTTAAATCGATGTTTTTCAAATCCAGAACAGGCCAGCAATGAGTATCTCATGTTTGTATCTTGTGATAGAGGCCTATATGTATATATATGGGGGGGGGGAGCTAAACAATTTTTTGCGGGATGGCACTTTTTTCTAGTTCCGCCACTGATGATGCATCGATAAAAGAAAGGAAAGGTCACACCATTTTTCAAATTATAACGGCTTATGCAATTTGTCATTAAATTTGGCTTATGCAATTTGTCATTAAATTTCATTAAATCCTATCAATTATATCTACCGGTCAAAGAAAGTTATTTTTAATGTATACTCTGTAAGATCTAAGACGAATCTTGATCAATGCTGTCAATTTGTATGTATAATTTATTTTGAAACAAGGTTAATATTTCATAACTGTTGGCCTAAGGATGAACTTTCTAAGTAATAAAAAATATTTTAATTTAAAACATATATGATTATCACCCTGTATGAAATAATAAATATTTACATCGTAATAGTCATTGTGTTGTTTTCATCAACAGGTAAAAACAACTGGTAGCTTTGAGATTGTCCATTTAAAAAAATATTATTGAACTCAAAAATAGAAGAAAGGTGAAGATATGGTAATTCTAAGTGAATACTAGTTGTGAAGCATTGTAACTATACCAGTTAACTTACAATTCACATTTAATTAAAGTATAAGGTTCAAAAAATAAAAGCTACCTTTTTATGTTTTTGAACAAGTCTTGATTTAGACTATTCACATTTAAATCCGCTTTTGTTTTCCAAGAAGCTATTAATGTACTACTGCTCAATTCCTTACCTATAAGATAAAGAAAAAGTTATTTACTCAAAAATATTCATTTAAAATCTTATAATGCTAAACGTATGAGAAGTATAGATGCTCCAATTCCAATTTAAAAAATATAAATAAAAAGTGTAAATTTGAGATGCAGATTTCGCGCAACATAGTGTCAATAGTTAGCTTAATCAACAATGAGTAAGCAATAATTTTCTAGACTTGAAAAGCTGGTTCCTAATGGTTCCAACTGTTTGTTGCCAGAAAGCATGTATTTTAACAAAAATTGAATATTTCATAACATTTCAGAAATAAGTTAAAAATGACTTCCGGTTTTACTAAGGCTAGAAATATTAAAACAAATAATAACTAGTAATATAAAACTAAATTTAGCTAAAACTTTTTCTTTAAATTTGGATTAGTAGAGTCAGGGTGTTGTGGTGATAAGGGATGTTATATTATTTAATATTAACAAAATACTAGACTATGCCCAATTGACTGCTATATTGTATTTTATCTTGAAAAATCAGATGTTATGACTTTTCCACGCTTTTCTTTATAGTTGTTTAAATAGTAGTCTATAATTTATTTTCTACTTTTTAGTCCATTAGTACATAAAAGCTTGTTTTTTTATGACATTTTTCGTTATTTTCTGTTTATGTTTAAAATAGCTTAAACAAATAGTATGAAAAAAATATTTTAAAAGCTACCTCCCTTTTAAATTGAACAAATGACGAAATCTTTGTTTTCTTTTTTTTTCAGAAATAGTTGCTATGCTTATATAAGAAAATACAGAATCTGGAAATTTTAATGACCATAATGGTCTTTTTACCGACTGGAAAAAGGTTTTTTTGGTACCCTCCAGGGTCGGTCTATGCCCTTACAAAATATCAGGGGGATCGTCCGGCACGTTTTTAATTTATAGCTCATGTAAATAGAATTTCACTAGGTGTCTTTTTTTAGCCCTCGCCTTGCGAGCAGAGGCTGACCGATAGATTATCCAAAAAGCCGATTTATTTACCCAGGTTTATAGGAAAAAAATGAGCCAGATGTACAGAGCCAAAGTACTCTTTTGAAAGTAGTCATCGCTTTTCAGAAAAAAACGGTCGTCGTGTTATATTGACCCAAGGCAAGATCCTGCCGAAAATGACGCGCCTGCGGTCCGTCGTCTGCCCTATCAGGCACCCGACAATGTTGCTCGCTCTCTCTCTCTCTCTCCCTCTCTCTCTCTCCTCTCTCTCTCTCTCTCTCTCTCTCTCTCTATCTCATTCTCTCTGTCTCTCTCTCCTCTATATATATCTATATCTATATCTATCTATATATATATATATATATATATATATATATATATATATATATATATATATAGAGAGAGAGAGAGAGAGAGAGAGAGAGAGAGAGAGACAGATATAGATATAGATATAGATAGATATCTTTCTTTCTTTCTTTCTTTCTTTCTTTCTTTCTTTCTTTCTTTCTATCTTTCTTTCTTTCTTTCTTTCTTTCTTTCTTTCTTTCTTTCTTCTTTCTTTCTTTCTTTCTTTCTTTCTTTCTTTCTTTCTTTCTTTCTTTCTTTCTTTCTTTCTTTCTTTCTTTCTTTTCTTTCTTTCTTTCTTTCTTTCTTTCTTTCTTTCTTTCTTTCTTTCTTTCTTTCTTTCTTTCTTTCTTTCTTTCTTTCTTTCTTTCTTTCTTTCTTTCTTTCTTTCTTTCTTTCTTTCTTTCTTTCTTTCTTTCGTTCGTTCGTTCGTTCGTTCGTTCGTTTGTTCGTTCGTTCGATCGTTCATTCGTTCAATTCGTTCATTCATTCGGTACCATGTTAATGTATCTTCACTACCATGTAGAGAGGTTACAAACTTATGAACCAATAAGGCTATCTTACGTTCAGAGAAATAGATGACGTTGTCCTATATATATATATATATATATATATATATATATATATATATATATATATATATATATATATATATATACATATATATATATATATATATATAAATATATATATATATATATATGTATATGTATATATATATTTATTTATTTTTATTTATTTATTTATTTATTTAGTTATACATAGCAGCTGCATACCCATAGCTCGCAATGGAATTTTCTTAGAAATAAATATATTAATTTTCACAAAATGAAATATCAAACAGAATAAAAGGGAAAAAATAATAGAAGAGTGTATATATAAAAATATACCTGGATATAGCTTAAGAATTATTAAGGGCGCGGGACAGGGCTAGGGTAGGATTAGGCTTATGTTTAGGTTTAGGGTTGGGCTTAAGACTTAAGCGTAGGCATTGGCTTAAGTTTAGGGTAAGATAAAAGTTTAGAACTAGGATTATAATTTACAATACGCCACACCACACACTTAGTAAAAACAATACATGGAGTAGATCAAAACCTATACAACCAAGTTTTATACTAAAACGCACACCACCTCATACCACACGACATTAGAAGCAACAACGCAGTAGTAAACTGTATGTGTCTAAATAGCCCGGGAAATAAATACCATCGGCCTAAAGTTTAGTAGTGCACCTTTTTTCAATCAACGCATGAGGACCGATGACTACAAAGTCATGTAGCTTAACAAAGTGCAATAAACAATAATCACAAAACAGTAAAACAGGAATAGTCAATTAAAGGGACATAAACAATATCAAAGCATTTAGGCCTACTACAGCGCTGATCCATCTCTGTCTGACTACACCTCAAAGATTTTTCAGGTTTCCCGGAGGCCCATTTCATACCCTGGGTTTGGGGGGGGGGGGGGTATTGTTGGGTTGACGTTTAGGTAGGGTGTAGTTAATGGTTTACTATCCTCCAAACGGTACATTTAGATTTTCACACATATAAACTACTATTTCCACATTTTTACCCACATATACATACTTACATATTTTACGTAATTGATGAGCTAGATGTACCTCTTCAGTGCATACATTTGAATTTCCAGTCTCAAAAAAAGTCTTCGCTATAATTTCAAACGTAGTTACTTTCCAATTTTCAAGAGCGCTAAAAAAAATTTCGTATATTTTAATAAATCGTTTTCGCTGAGTCGCAGATGAAACATTTACAATTCTGGAATTTTCTTCCACAGGAAGTAATTCTTGCCATTGTTCCATTTTTAATAAGATCTGTGCAATAACGTCATATCCATTCATACATGCAATCATTAATGCGTTTTCTCCAAAACTGTTAATACAATTTATATCACACCCGCTGTTTATTAATAATTCTACAGTTTGTACATTTCCGAATTCCGTTGCTTTCATTAAAGCGCTATATCCGTCGTCATTGCAGTGGTTTAAATCGACCCCAATTTGTAACAGCATTTCTACAATGTCTAAATGTCCTTTTCTAGATGCGTACAATAAAGGAGTATCACCGTCAGTGTCCGGATGACTAAAATTATTAATATATTTTTTTAGTAGTTCTATCATTTTAAAATTACCTTTTTTACGAGCAGCCGTTTTTGCCTCACATTTCTGTGCAGTTATTTCCTTGGTTATATAATAATATGCGCCATTTTCTATTAATAACTCGACTATTTGTGTAAACCCATGTTCTATTGCAATAGTTAATGGGCAATATCCGAGTGTATTAGGATGATTCACATCGACTCCAGCTTTTATAAGATAGTCAATAATTTCAAAGTGACCATTTCTAGAGGCACGCATTAAAATATTACTTTCATCAATATTAGTATTGCCCAAATAAGCACTATATTCTCTTTGTAATTCAATCTTTTTATAATTACCTCTTTTATAGGCAGCCAATACTGCGCCCAACCCCCTCGGTTTTACATCTACATTATTTTTAAGTAGCAAATCTAAGATGTTATCATGTCCTTTTTTGAACGCTATTAGTATAGCACTATCACCTTTTTTATTTACATGATTTAAGTCGCATCCGCTTTGTATTAGCAATTCAACAATACGAAGATGTCCACTTTTACATGCGTTCATTAAAGCATTGTTACCTTCAATGTCAAAAAAAGTTAAAGAAGCGCCGTATTTTATAAGTAATTCAATGATTTTATCATGACCTTTTTCACAAGCAATCATTACAGCATAACCGCCACTGTTGTTTATTACATCAATGTCAGCTCCATGTTTTAATAAGAGTTCTAGGATTTTGTCATGTCCATAAACAATTGCGAATAATAATGGACTATCACCTTTTTTATTTAAATGATGTAAGTCGCATCCGCTTTGTATTAGCAATTCAACAATACGAATATGTCCACTTTTACATGCGTTCATTAAAGCATTGTTACCTTCAATGTCAACAAAAGTTAAAGAAGCGCCGTATTTAATAAGTAATTCAATGATTTTATCATGACCTTTTTCACAAGCAATCATTACAGCATCACCGCCACTCTTGTTTATGATATCAATGTCAGCTCCATGTTTCAATAAGAGTTCTAGGATTTTGTCATGTCCATAAACAATTACGAATAATAATGGACTCCAACAATCTTCTCCAATGTAGTTTACATCTATCTCATATTTAAGCAGAAACTCTAAAATGTCGACATGTAATTTTTTGCAGGCTATCAGGAAAGCATTATCTCCATTTTTATTTGTATGATTTATTTGTACTCCATATTTTAATAGTAATACCACAATTTGTAAATGTCCAAATTCGGTTGCTCGAATTAATGCATTGTTGCCTTCACTATCAACACGTGTTATACATGCACCATTTTCTATTAATAGCTCAACAATTTCGGTAAACCCTTTTTCTATTGCTAATAATATTGGGCAATATCCTAGGTCTTTGCTGTGATTTAGATCAACTCCATCTTTTATAAGGTAGTCAACAATTTTAATGCATCCATATTTAGCCGCATACAATAAAGCATTTTTGCCTTCGTTGTCAGTGCAGGCTAAATCTACACCATATTTGGTTAATAATGTAATGATTTTATAATGACGTTTACTACAAGCAGTCAATAATGAATTATTTTCTATTTTTTTAAATTGATCCAAACTAACCCCATATGCTAATAATAGCTCGAGAATCTTGTCCTTTCCGTACACACATGCCGCCAATAAAGGGCTCCAACCATCATTTGTAATACAGTTTACATCTATATCAAATTGCAGCAGTAACTCTGCAATATCGACATATCCCTTTTCACAGGCGATCATCAAAGCGTTGTAACCTACACAACTACTATGATGTTGGACTGTCTTGTCAACATGTCTTAATCCATTCACATCTGTTATTGGCAATCCGTGTGAGTGATCCCCTGTCCTTCTATACAAATCAAGGTTACATAGAGTCAGTAACTTGACAACCCTGTAGTGACCCTTATTGCATGCAAACATTAAAGATGACCATTTGTTGTTGTTTAACCTGTTTACATCAGCTCCATGTTGTATCAGTAAATATACAATTTTTTCATGCCCGAATTCACAAGCAATCATTAATGAATCTAATCCATGTGTTTCAAATTGATTTAAATCAGCACCCCTTTTTAATAGTAATTCTACAATTGTTTCATGTCCTTTCCCACAAGCAATCATTAACGCATTCCAATTGTTTGATTGCAATCTTTTAACATCCGCACCACCATCCAAGAGTAGTTCTACTATTTTATCGTGTCCACTTTCAGACGCAATCATCAATGCATCCATTCCATGTGTGTCTGTTTGATGTAAGCTTACGCCTTTTGTCATCAAAAGCTCTACAATGTTACAATAACCATTTAAAGCTGCAATCATTAATGCGTTCCATCCACATGTAGTAACACGAGTATAATTTGCACCGTTCTCTAAAAGTAATTCTAAAACAGCATAATGTCCTTTCTGTGATGCAAGCATAACAACATCGAGATCGTCTTTATTTACAATTGTTAAGTCTGCGCCATTTTGTATCAACAGCTTGGCAGTTTTATCATCGCCATTATTGCTTTACATTATCTCCTTTTGTGAGTAACCTTTCTACTTCTGTATAGTATCCATGTAAGGATTCTGCCAACAGGTCTTCCATTTTCTGGTAACTGCTTAAAAGCGAATTATATTTTTGTGATTGAACGACTTACTAAATTTTTCCTTTATTGATAAAAAAATTGGCAGTTAAGTCAGCTAACACCATATTAAAATACATTGTATTTAGACAATCCCTGGTCGTTTTTAGCAGCGTCTTCTACCGTACAAACAAAAACCACATATTTTAGTATGGAGTTTCATTTTCCTTTCACGATTCTTTATATTTCAGACCTGCAGTTAAAAAGCAAATAATGTGTTACTCTTAATTAAGATTAAATATTTTAAGTAGTTAGTATTCTAATTTACAAGAAAACATAATAAGTGTGCCAAGTTGCATATGATTTTGTGGTTAGAAAAAGGATGAAAGCAGAATTGTGAGTTTTAAATTGGACTAATAAAAAGGGTCTTTAAGTTATGATTGACAAAGATTGTTATGTTTTTGATAGAGGCAAGTTTCAGTTTTAATCGAATTTTCCCATTTCTGTAAAATCTCGTTTATTTTAGTACAGGCGTTGATTTATTTAAATATATTACAGCAATTTGTATCACATTATCTGTATTACAACATGCAACATGTTAAATCCATAAATGACTTTATGCTTGTATTTATGCCATTGGCACTTGATGTTAATATTTAAAAGTCTTTCTTTTAAATATCATATAAGACTTGAGACTACCCATGCTACATAGCTCTAATTAAATACATGTATGCCCTAATTTCAAAACTTCTTTACACAGAATACAGTAAGTGCTTCTATCCTCCAAAGATAGATAAAATATGCATCGCGCCTATATCCGCTGTATCTATTTATAGGTAGACTTTAAAAAAAAAATTGTTTACAAGCTTTTATTCAGTTTGCAATGTGTGTTTGTGTGTAGGTCACCCTATCAGTCTGGTGATTTTACGTTAATTGTATGCAACCGTAGAGAAGGTTAATCTAGTGAAGCCTATTAGGGCAGATAGTGAAGTTTTTAAATGATTTGTAACTTGCTGATGTGTGTAAACTGTGATTACAGAAGGCTACTTTCACGGGCAGATAATCGACTTTCAAATATCGCGAGCTACTGATTGAGTTTTCAGGGGGTAGACTCCGGTGAGAAAAAAAACTTTTTTTAATAATAGAGAGCAAACATTTTTTTTCTCTACAGTTTTTTTTAAGGTCTATCCGAATATGCTTTTCCACTAAAAAAATTGGAAAATTATTTTGATAACTACGACAACGGCGGCCATCTTGAAAGACTATCTCTTCGTAGGATTTCAAACATTCATAATATTTTACATTTTATGTCCAATAAACAATGTTTTCATAATCTTCTACCATATTTTGGGATACTCAGCTAAAACAATTTAGGCGCAAATCTTCAAACTAATTTTTTATGAAATTTCAAATTTTGGATCCGGTAAAAACATTAAATTTTGAGGAATTTTGGGGCATTAAATCTAGTGTTTTATGAGCGCATGAACTATCTATTTTTATACGGTCTGGTACTTTTTTGTTTCACCAGAAGTGCTAATTTGACAATATGCGGGTATTAAGAACCGTTTTATAAACATTTTCGGCTTAATAAATACAAATTAAAAAAATTATTTTTTTCTTGTCTAGATTACAACGAGGATTACTTCTAATAACTAAACTAATTTAGTGCCTGAGATAATTTATTTTAAACTGTGTCACCCCTCCCCCACCTCTAAACTATATAGCTTGGGCGCAAACCCCACTCTGCAGGGGTGCCGTAGGACGCGTCTGATTTTATATAGTTAACGATTATTGTTGTCCATCTTGTCTTTAGTGCGTAGTCTTTTTTACAAAAGAGAGTAGGCGCCATAAAGCTCAAAGGGAGACCGGGCATTTCAGGTCAAACAATAGCCGTGGTGCCGGCGGCTGCGCCAGTTGAATTTTAGTTTTAATACTGAATATATTAGTACGCCTTCCTCGATATGCAGGATGTCCGATTAACGGATACCAAGTGCTAAAATAGCCGCTCTGTAGCTCTGGACCGGCCATAATAAATTTTAATTATTTTGTTCGCAGAGAACTTCTCTGTAGTATTATCATCAACTCCCCTGAAGTTTCATGGCGATCGGATGAACGGTGTCGGACTTCTTCTTCTTCTTCGTTCTTAATTGTGAATATGGTGGAGGATTCAGACAACAAGTCCAACTTCGTGGACAAACCGGACTGTGGTCTCCAGTTTGTCAGGTGCCCCATATAATTTTTCCCTGAGTGAGGTGGGCTGGGGCCAGTGTCTGTCTCGTGCCTGGCTATACAAAGTACATTCCTGGAGTACGTGCTCCGTGTTTTCCGGGGCCTTGCCACAAGGGCACATTTCGCTACACACAACCTTCAGTTTTCTGTGCATGTGTTGATTTAGTCTGTTGTGGCCTGTTCTAAGTCGAAAGATTATGTATTGTTGTTTTCGTGTTAAATTATAATAGCCGTCGTCTTTAATGTAGTGAGGGTGTGTGACAGACCACATTTGCGTTTGTTTGTTTTTTATTATTCTTTTTATTTCTTTTGGGTGTAGCGAAATTTCCGGTTGTGGTTTCTTTCCCCCAATTTTTGCCAGCTGGTCTGCGATCTCGTTACCCAGGATCTGCCAGTGGCCCGGGATCCACTGCAGCACAATTCTGCTGCAGGTATTTTTTAGGCTCTCTAGTGCTGTCATAAGTGTTTGAATATGGGACTCTGGATTTTGTAGGGATTGCAGGACTGATTTGGCATCTGTAAGAAATACAATCTGACTATTCTGTGATTCAGGGTGTTCTGACAGGAGGTTTGCTGCATGTTCTAAAGCTTCTTTTTCTGCCCTAAAATTGTCGGATAGGCTGCCTGTGGCTATTGCCTTTTCCAGGCTTTCTCCGCTTGGCCATTCAATAAGGATGCCAGCCCCGCCATTTTTTGTGGCATCTTCAGCTGAGCCATCTGTGAAAACTCTAATCCAGGTATTGCTGGGGTACTGATCCTTAATGTGTTTATTTGTTATTTTCTTAAGTTATTCTAGATCATAGTCAGATGTTTTTCCTATGGTGTCTATTGAGTCAATAATGGTTAAGTGACAGTGGGTGATCCAAGGCGGGGAGAGGTTTTGAGTTTTTATTGCTTCAGTAATGATATTTTCGATTTCATATTTCTTTTTCAGATTCTTTGCTTCTTTGATGAAACTTGTTCTTTGTAGTCTGGTTGATGGACTGGGTTTCTGGAGTTTTTGTTTTAGGTTATGGTTTTCCAGTGCCTCTAGCTTTGTGTATTGAGTGAGGATTTTTGATTCTCTTCTTTCTTCTATTGAGCTAAGAGCGGCAATTTCCTCCATAGCTTTTTTTGGGTGTTGTTTTCATGGCTCCTGTCATTATTCTCAAACCAATGTTCTGAACTTTGTCAATTTTGCTAATATTTGTTTTTGCCGCTGAGCCCCAAGCCGAAGCGCCATATTCTAACGTAGG